AACAAATCAAAAACTTCAGCAATAAATTAATTTGTTGCTAACAATCTTCAAGCAGAATAATTTTAAAAATAAAAAAGTAAAAACGACAAAAAGTCATGAAAGTTATAAAAACACACAAAAAAATGTGTTGTTTAATTGAAAAAAAAAAAAAAAAAAAAAAAGCAATCCATGTAAACATAAGTATTTGGGCTGATTATTTAATATCATCAAAAATATGAACGAAAAAGACAATTTTATTTTCGTTATCTTTTATACTAATGGTTTAAAACCATTTTAATAAAAGCTAAAGAAAGTGTTAAAGATTTAATTTATTTTTAAGTGATTTAGTTTAAACCTTTAAATTGTTTTCAAAAAAGGTATTTGAAATCTAGTATATCGAATTCCATGTTCAGTAAATGCCGTTTTGAATCATCCTTAAAACTTTGCAAAGTGCAGTTTAAAACGAAGTTTTGTTTTTTACTAAAGATTGGAAGAAATTCTTTCCAAACTAAAGGTTGAACTTAATTTAAGAAAGTTTATGGGAACCACAAAGTTATTCACTGAAAATTTGGTTGGATATTTATGGGAGATTTCATTAAAGTAGGATTGAAATGTTACTGTGGAAAACCCAAGTTTTGCTTTAAACATAAATATCATTACTTGATGAATATTAAGCTTATAAATATTTAAAGCTCCAAGCTGACGTAAGAGAGGTTCGCATTGTGTTTTTCTATTTGCCCCAAATACTATCCTGCAAGCATGTTTTTGTTTACTATAAATTTTTTTGAGTTTAGTGTGATTAGTGCTACCCCAGGAAATGTTACAGTATGAAAGATAGCTGTGTATAAACGAAAAATATAAACTTCTCGTTTTTACGAAAAGACTCGTTATTAAGAAAAGGTTTCGTACGGTATAACATGGCAATATTTTTTGAGATCTTACCTTCAATATATTTAATATGAAATTTCCATGACATTTTTTCATCTAAGAGCACTCCCAGAAAGTTTGTAGTCAATACCCTTTTAATTATTTTATTATTGATTTAAAGATTGGGTAGTTTAAGAGGAATATTCTCGGCTTTACTAGGTTTATGGAATAGGATAAATTTTGTTTTCTCTACATTTAATGATAGTCGGTTACTTATAAACCACTCGTTGATCTTGTCTAATTCTTCGTTAAATATTTTAAAAAGAACAGTAATATCTTTGTGAGAATAAAACAAATTAGTGTCATCTGCAAATAAGATAGTATTTAATACTTTTGATGATAAATATAAAACATTTATATAAAGTAAGAACAATAATGGTCCCAAAATAGAACCTTGGGGTACTCCACAAGTTATTAAGTTGTTTTTTGAGTCTTTTGATTCTTTAAGTATAAATTGCTTTCTGTTAGTTAGGTATGATTTAAACCAAGGTAAGCTTTGATTTTTAACACCATAGTTTTCTAATTTTTTCAAAAGAATTTCATGATTTACTGTGTCAAAAGCTTTGGATAAATTAATAAAAGCCCCTATTGTATAGCAATCACTATTAAATCCATTTGATATATGCTTAACTAATTCAACTACTGCATGGTCAGTAGAATGATTTTTTTTAAAACCGTATTGATTATTATATAAAATCTTATTTTCAGATAGATATTTATAAAGTCTGTTGTACATAATGCGTTCAATTAGTTTAGAAAAGCAGGGTAAGACTGAGATTGGTCTGTAGTTTGAAATATTGGTCTCATCGCCAGATTTGAAAATAGGTGTTATTTTTGCAACTTTAAGTTTATCTGGAATATCACCTGATTTAAGGGAGAGATTAAAAATATGGAATAATGAGGGTTCGATAATATCAAAAACAGATTTAATTACATTAACATTAATTTGATCTATACCTGCATTTTTATTTTTTTTCAGACTATTAAAAGCAGTATGTAGTTCACATTTGGTTAAAATCGGTTCTTCCATAATTAAATCAGTTGTTGCAAGATATGAATCAAATTTTTTTTGACCAATTGGAATTTTCGCTGCTAGGTTTGGGCCAACATCAAGAAAAAAATTGTTTAATTTCTCAATAATAACTTCTTGATGATAAATCATTTTTCCCTCAATAATAAGTTTTTGCGGTAAGTTATTTTTTTCAATTTTATTTTTCCCAATTAAGTCTCTAATAACACTTCACGTTTTTTGAGGGTTTCCTTTGTTTTTTTCAAGCAGTTTAGCATAGTAATTTACTTTTGATTGTTTTTTGGTTTTTTCAAATAAATTTTTATAATTTTTGTAATTAGTTTCATTTTTATAAGTTTAATTTTTTAAATATTTATCATACAATTTTTGTTTTTTCCTTGATGATTTTAGTAGGCCTTTGGTCATCCATGGGGAATCAACTGACTTTGAGTTTATTAGTTTCACTTTTAAAATGAAATGCCTTATCATATATTTTAGAAAATTGGTTTAGAAATAAATCATAAGCATTATTTACATCGTGTGATTGCAGTACAAGATTCCAATCAACGAAATTATTTAATAAATTTTTAAATTGGCAAATGGAATTTTCATTGATTTGTCTCATGAATACTGTTGATTTGTGGGTAGCATTATTTAGAGTAACGCTCTCAGTAATAAAGAATATAGGGAAATGATCAGTTAAATCAGTCTTGATTATACCAGTTTTAAAACGGCTATTATGAAAATTGTTAGTTATAACATTATCTAATAATGTCGATGATTTTTTAGTTACTCTTGTTGCTTTGTTTATAGTTGGGATAAGGTTGTATTCGAGAAGAATATCAATAAAATTTTTGCTTCACTATTTAAGGCATGGTTGAGTAAGTCAATGTTGATATCCCCAACTACGTAAACATGCTTTTGTAATATATTTTTTGTGGTTTGGAATGTGCGCAGATAAGTTTTGAATGTTTTTAAACTACCAGCTGGCGTTCTATAAATAGCATTGATTATGAAATTTTTAGCTAATTTATTTATTATCTCGACGCATAGTGCCTCACAATCTGTATTGTTTACATTAAGATCTTTACGTTGAATAAAATCAATAGAATTGTGAACGTATATGCTTATACCACCGCCAACGCAAATATTGCGCATTTGATGAACTGATGTATAGTTTCTTAACTTAAAATTAGAACTTGTTTCATTGCTTTTAAGCCAAGTTTCTGCGAAACAAATTATTTTAAAATCATGATTAAGTTCTCCCAATAAACACTAAAAGTTCTCGAAGTTTTTATTCATACTTCGAATATTAATATGCAATACTGAAAATTTATTCTTATTCTCACAGAGATATTGAGTAGATTCAGGTATTGAATAGTACTCACTTTGTAATATGGTTTCAGTATGATTATCTGAGTTATTATCGCTAAAAACAATATTTTTAGCATTAATATTATAAGAGAGATTGTTCTCCATTTCTAAAAGTTAAATTAAAATTTGAAAAACTATTGATAAATAAAAAATAAAAATAAAGTATCGTTAAAAGAAACCTTGTTATATCATTTATTTTATCATAATAAAATTATGAATCTTCAAACTCAGTCTTTTTCTCCAGGATATCCACTGCAGATAAAGATTTTTTAGGACTTTAAGTATTGTAGTTATATATATATATTGCAGATTGAAAAACTATTAGAAAAAAAAAGGTTCGAACTAAGTAAAATAATAATAATAAATAACTGTTGTGGAAAACTAAAAATGTAAATTAAATACAATAAACATCTTTTAAAAAGGAAAAGACAAATTTAATAACATAAATATTCCACTAATAGACTTAAAACTTGATGACAGTTTATGAACGAGTTCATATAACAATAAAGTACAGCAATGCATTGTTGAAATTTTTTTTAACTTGTTGAAGAAATGTTTTACATATTATTTATAATGTATTATTATGCATAATGCATTATTTAGCAACTCGTTAAAAATACATACACATTTTTAAATATTTCGAAAAACATTTATCTGGTTTTATTTAGCATAAAATGTAGAATTAAAAAGATGAACTTACATTTAGCAAAATTTTGAACTTTAGTATCAGGACTTGCTTCTCTAATGTGCAAACAATTGTGATATGTTTCACTTATCCTTCTAAAATTAATATTAAAAAAAAATACAAAAATTGCACACTTCAATCTCATATATAAACTTACATTAAAAAATTTAGTTGAGAATATTAAATATAACATTAATTTTAAAAAGTTATAAAAAAACTTACATATATGACCTTAACTTGAAAAAACAACCTTATTCTAGAAGTTTAGAACTTCAAGACTATGAATCACTTTACACGTGCATCTTACATCTCTTTAGTTTTTTAGTCAAGATATAGGTTTGTTAATTTTTATAACTACCTTTCTATATAAGGTGAAAAAAATATTTTTGTATTTTTTTACTTAACATACAATCGCTTTCTTAATTTTTTTCTAATATATGACTGTCACCACTGAGTAAAGTCTTCTGGTTAGGCTAAAAAAAATCATGGCTCAATATTATATATAGAAAGTTATTTCTACTAAAAGTTCTACTTATATAAATGTAGAGCTATTGCTAACTGAAGTAGAAACAATCTAGATAGAAATAGATTTACACTTTTATTAAAAGATCTATTTATGAAATGATTGTAACATAAACTTACTTTATGTTAGGTTGTGATCATTTCATTGTAATTATACTCAAATCTCTTGACTCATAATTGAGAATGGAAGTTTAACTTTTTCCAGTAAATATAAAAAAAATGTATAAACAAAAATACACACACACAAATATATATACATATATATATATATATATATATATATATATATATATATATATATATATATATATATATATATATATATATATATATATATATATATATATATATATATATATATATATATATATATATATATATATATATATATATATATATATATATATATTTATATATATATATATATATATATATATATATATATATATATATATATATATATATATATATATATATATATATATATATATATATCAGTGTTTGGAAAGTTCCTTTTTAAAAGGATCTCGTTCCGTTCCCCGTTCATTTGGTATAATGTGAACTCGTTCCAGATCCTCGTTCCTTACCTCAAAAAGGAACTTTTTCCAAATTCCTCAAAAAAAGGAATTCGTTCCAAGTTCGTTCTTTTTTTTTTATAATTTTTGAATTACTTATTACGAATTACACTAACAACAAAATGGAAGCAAACTTATTATAATTGGTTTATTTTTATTAATATTTCAAAATCTTTTTATAAGTATCTTGTTTTTTTGCCGGCTTGCATGAAATTTTACTTTTATTTTTAACGGCTCGGCACGTATAGTTACGCATATGTAAGCATATATGTTAATTTCAGTTCAAAAGCATAAGAAAAATGTAATTAGAAAACAGTAAAATATAAGAAAACAAATTTAAACTTCAACTTTATTTTGTTTTAACAAAACTAATTTTTCAAATAATAAATCCCCCAATTTATATCTTTTTTCAGTAATTACATTAGAACCTGTTGAAAATAGTCGCTCAACAGGTGCACTTGATGGAAGAGGTGTGTTAAGTTCTAAAAAGGCTTTTAATACTGATGGGTATAATAGTAAAAGAGATAACTCTCTTGACTGTGATTTTAAATATAATTCTAACTCTTCAATACCAGAACTTGTAACTCTGTTGCTTTCAACAGGTAAACAAAAAAAGTCTTCTTTAAATTCACCTGTAGTTGTACGAGAAGATTCCATTTCACAAGGGCCTGAACTAGACCTATGATCCACACTTTCAAATAAAGATTTTAACGAAGCTTCCGCTGAGAAACGTTTGACACCATCAAGCCATAATAATTTAAAGCGAGGTAACAAACACGATGCTAATATTAGCTCCTCTTTTTTCCCATATTGCGCTAAATCGAGTTTGAACAGAAGATTTTACTGCGTTGACAAACGGACTACAAAAATTCATATTTTTCTGTTGCAAAGTAGTTAGCTTTTTATCTAAAGCGTAAAGCGTAGGCAATAAATACCCCATAAACATTGATTCTTCTCCTTGTAAAAAATCTAAAGAATGGGCAAGTGGAGTCATTACCTCACAGTATTCTTGAATTAATTGAATTTCTTGATTTGTGAATCTTTGTATTTCACAGAAATCCATTATATTGCTCATTTTGTTATGTCCATTAGAGTCTGAAAAAATATTTTTAATTTGTAACAAGCTGTCATAGATACAGTTCCATCTTGTTTTATTAGGAGTTTTTAAATAAACATCTAGTGTATTGTGAATTTTTTCTGCAACTCTATTTGACATATTTTGCTTACTCCATAACGATGAACACTTGTCCATTGCTTTCCTATAAAGTTTCTTAAAATTACTAGGTGAATTCTGTACCATTTTCTCAACATCATCTTTTGCTATCAAGTCTAGTGTATGACTAGCACATCTAAAATGTTGTGGTAACTGAACAAATAAATCTTGTTTTGTATTTTATAGGATGTATGAATCTTATACAAAGCAGAAGCCAAAACAATATATGTATGCCTTCCTTTTATTCGGCTACAGGCTAAAGATACTGAATGACGCTGAAGAGTCTTTTGATCTATCCAATGACAAGTAACCCCAATATAACTTCTTTTACCTTTACTCCAACAGTCAGCTGTGGTTGCAACATACATAATATCTCCAAGTATTGAAGTAATATTTTCAACCATTGATAAATAAAGGCTATTAATACGTAATTTTAAAGTTTTACTGCAAATAACTTTTAGGTTTTTAGGAAGGCCTAACTTCACCAAATTTACAAACGATGGTTTATCAACTATTGATAAAGGTTGTGTTTCACTAATAACAAAATTTACAACAAGTTGGTCTAAAACTTTTTGATTTATTTTAAAACTCTCATATCCTTTATCAGTTCCATATTTCTCAAGATTTGATTGCACCGCATCCTTCTTCGCATTCTCCAATGAACCCCATTTTTCTTTTTTAACTGAAGCATTTTTTTTACCTTCTTTTATAGCTTTTTCAAAAGCAGCCATTTTATATGGATGAACTCTCTGAAAATGAAACAAATTTATTTTTTTTAATAAAAAAATTTGAAATTAAAATTTTTTTTTTAACTTTCATTAAATAAATATAAAGTTCATCAGAAATTTTAGCAAATTAAAATAAAACTGCAGCAAATTATTGATGTAAATTATACTAAACATTATGTTTACATAATTTTCCATGCGCTGTTAATGCACAACAGCATCTATTTTAACTACGTAATATTTTATTAGTACATAATAAGTAAATTTCAATACTATTTATTAGTAATACATAATAATTACTTAATATGTAATTAACTATTATGTCATTTGTACTTATTTTGTATACATAATATTTTGAAATCTTATCAAAATAATAACCTATAAATTATATTTGAAGACGTTAAAAGATTCACCTAAAAAATATACATTGATACATAAATTAATCTATTAAAATGTAATAACGTAATGTTATAAAAATATCCTCAAATATAATTTTTAGATTATTTTTTGTAAAGATTTTTAAAAGATTTTAAAATAGGAGGAATGCTTATTTACCTTAACATGCCGTTTTAGATTAGATGATGTATTTTTAGCTGTACTTATACATTTTCCCGAAGGGCCACACAAAACGCATTTTGCATTTATATTGTTACCATTTGCTTTGTTGAATACAAAAAATGACTCTAAACCATTCCAGGGCAAAAACTCACCTGAAAACATTATATAGTTTAATTATTTATACAAATAATTAATATTTTAGTTAAATAGACATTATGACTTTAGTTAAGTTCTTAAGTCAAAGCATGTGTAACCGTAATAAACTTACTTAAGAAATACAATTTGCACATCAATAAAATATAAAATAGATACAAAGTAAAAGTGTTTTATTTTTAAACTTACCACCAAGTTCAGTGTCATTATTACTAACATTATCAATTTCAATAACTGAAGTCATATTGCTTACTACAACAGCGTAAAATAGAATTTCTCCTGTATGGTTAGCCTTTTTAAAAAAACTCACGTGGCAAAGTTCGCCTTAAGTTGGCCAAACGTACTATTTTTGGTTCTATGACTAAGTACAAAGCTTTATGTTTTTTGAATTGAAGATTAACTTTAACGAAAAGCTTTAATTTTTGACGAATAATTAGTAAATATTTTTTGAGGAACGTGAACAAAAAATAATAAATTTTGGTTCACGTTCCTCAAGAAAAAGAATTCGTTCTCGTTCCTCGTTCTGCTTTATCAATAGGAACCAGTTCCAAGCTTCGTTCCTCAAAAAAGGAATTTGTTCCAGGAATCCGTTCCTTTTGGAACGCGTTCTTCCAAACACTGATATATATATATATATATATATATATATATATATATATATATATATATATATATATATATATATATATATATATATATATATATATATATATATATATATATATATATATATATAAATATATACATATATATATATATACACTCGCGCAAATTTCATTTAAGCCGTTTTCATGCAAAACATTTATATTTCAAAACATTTTCAGTAACTTTAAAGGAAAAAAAGTCAAAAATTAGTCCCTCGCTAGAAATATATATATATATATATATATATATATATATATATATATATATATATATATATATATATATATATATATATATATATATATATATATATATATATATATATATATATATATATATATATATATATATATATATATATATATATATATATATATATATATATATATATATATATATATATATATATATATATATATATATATATATATATATATATATATATATATATATATATATATATATATATATATATATATATATATATATATATTCACACTCATATACATATATATACATTAAGCGTTAAACGCCGTGTTTAGTTTAAATTAATTTCATTACTTTATTTCATTATTTTATTTCAACCATTTTTATGTTTCCCTTTGACATAATTCTTTTAAAAAATTAACTCAAATTTTTTGAAAAATCTCTTTATACAAACGTATTAACTATTCGTATGTTAGATTTATTTAACAGGTTATTAAGAATTTTTTTTTAGTATTTTAGGAACGTCGGACTTCATAAACTGCGCCACGCGTATTTTTATTTTATTTTATCCCGTTTCTTAGGCAAAAAAAAAACTTAAAAGATAATTCTGGAATCGAAATGGCGTGAAAAATTATGTAAAAATATAAAATTCATCATCTTCATTGGTTTCATCCTGCAAAAGGAAATTGTGACTCTCCAATAATATTCGGAAAAGTCAAATCACGGTCAAAAACGTTTTCTTTCGTCTAGTTTCCATATTTTGGACCAAAATATAGAAAAATCCTAACCCTGACCAGAACTTCTGGTTCATTTTTGCTTGTTTTTGTGCGACAAAATTTTGATACCTTTCTTCAATCCGTAGTTACTTATCTTATTTATGAAAAATAAGTAACAAATATTTATTTAACAATAATATAAAAACTAAACAACAAACGTTTTATATCATTATTAAGAAAAAAATATCGTAAAAAACAATGAGCAAATGTTTTTACAGCTGCAATACGGTTTTTACAATTGAAATACTGTACTGAAATAACAAATAAGTAACAAAAATGGAGGGAAAAAATTTGTTCTAATTTTTTGTTGTTCAATAACTAAACTTTCCTGTTTTTCACGCTAAATATTGTTTCAAAGATTAAATTGTTGCATTAAACAATAAGACAAAGTTTGCATAAGACAAAGTTTAACTTTACACGATTTTTACAATTGAAACTTTAGAAATATATATTTTTGATCTCTTCTAAAAAAGGTCTTAACTAAGTCAAATCATAAAAGGAGCTTAATAAAGCCATTTCTTCTTCATCATCATCGTTAATATAGCTTTCATCACATAAGTAATTTTGTTTATCTTCTTTGTCTAATAAAGATGAATTGATATAAAGAAATGCAAACTTTTCCACATTTTCATTTAATAGTCTGTTTCTCCTCTTTCCATGAATGAAATTATACATGCTCCAAACTCTTTCACTTGAAGAAAAAGTTGTCGGAACTGTGAATAACCTGATTGCAATTTTAGATAAATTTGAAAACTTGCTTTTTCCAACAATTGTCCAGTATTGAAAATTTGACATTTTAAAAATTTTTTCTTTAGTACTGTCTTACATAAAAACAAATTGTGTTAAATATTCATTCAACTCAAAAATAGCTAAACTAATTTCTTCTTCTGAATCATAAAATATTGTAAAATATTTTTTAAATTGTTTCAAAGTGTCTAATTTATCTGAACCAATCATGTCATCACTAGCATATATTGGTGATAAAACAAAAGCAAAACCCATAGATTATGTATGGATAAAAGCCGACCTTTCATATAATAATTTGACAATTATTCCTGATTCTAAATCATGTTTTTCAAAATGACAGAAGAGTCTTTTAAAATCATTGTAAATGTTTGCTAAATCATAATTATCACTTTCAAATTTTCCAATTATATTACTTGGAAACTCAAGTATGGTTGATAAGTTTTTGACTTTTTTCCAAAACTCAGAATCAGAAACAATTTTTATAAATAATTTTTTTTTTCTCTGATTCTTTAATATTTGACATAATGTGATCCTCAATAGTAAATTTAGCATTCATTAATTTTGGTAAACTATTATAATGAGTATACCAACGAGTGTCAACAGGAATCACTAAGGTATTTTGAATTCTATACTGTTTTTTTAATTCATTAAACCTATATGAAAGAAATTGTATTCTTTTAATAAACAAGACAATTTGTAAAGCAGATGTCATTGTTTCTTTAAAATAATCCAAAGAAATTATATCTTTTATGAGTAGATTAATAACATGAGCAGCACATCCATTTGAAAAAATTTTAGGAAACTTACATTCGATAATATTCCATGCAGTTCCATATAACTTATGTTATCAGTTATAATTGAAACACATTTATCACTTTCTAATTCTTCTACAAACTTTAAAATTCCTTCAGCAATAGATTTCCCTGTTTGAGAAACACCACTAGTATTTATAGATTTAAAAAAAAAAGAATTTTTTCCAGGAATTATGATAACATAGTTTACAAGGTGATCGTTTCGTATATTTAACCAACCATCACTTTAAATTTAAAAATAAGGACTTTCACTTAGCATTTTTAAGCCAATATTGTAATTTTTTGTAACTTTTCATACTGATTCCTCAAAAGAGTAGTTCTAATACTTTTTTCTGATGGCATATGGTTTTAATAAGCCGGTCTCAAAGCATCTATAATGTTTTTAAAAGCTGAAAAGTTTATAACACTAAATGGAATTCCAGTTCGAAAAACAAAATTTGACAATAATTCATTATATTGCAATTGGTCAGATTTGCTTAAAGTGTCCATTCAATTTATTATGGTAGCAGCTTCTTTAAATTCTTTTGGAATATCAGATCCTTCACCTTGTTGACTTACCAAATTAACACCACTATGTTGTTTACTTATATTAACTTTAGTATTTACAGGTTTATCAAAAAAAATCTGTTTTTCTTCATCAGATATACCAGAACAGTTAGCTCTTTTATGGCTGCGTAATTTATCAGATGACCAATAAACTTCAATGCCACAGAGAATGCATTTTCCCTATTTAGTAAAAATATTCCTGCTTTTTAGATATTTTTCAATACATATTTTAGCTTTCATCTAAATTAATGTTAAATAACAGTAAAACGTAACTTTTAAACTCAGTTAATTAATATTAATTTAATAGCAACATGATAATGTTATTTATTTAAACAAATAACCAACACTTTAACACTTTTGTAACAAAAGTGTAAAAATTTTTAAACAAAGTTGTCAAAAACTTTAAAATAAAGTTGTAAAAGTCTTATAAACAAAGTTGTAAACAACAAAATTTGTTGTTATATAAAAATTATTTAGCTATAAAAGACTTAATATTTTACTAAAACTTTTTTTTTTAAATTGTTGGATTTTTACTTAAAAACCAAATATATAAAAACTAAATATATATAAAAATGTTAAATTGCTGAGCATTCTGAGGCGCTATAATCTAAACTTTAATTTAAAACACCTCATACATTCAGTTGTAAAGTAAAAATAGAACGATCTTATATCAAAAATACTCTAAACTAAAACACTTACTTTTAATATAAATCATTTATATTAAATGTTTATTATAAAACATTTTAACAAAGATATGAAATATAAAAACATGTAATTTTAAGAACACCCAATTAAATAGATTTTTAATATTTAAACGCACTTGCGTTGATCCGTGTGAAAGTGACCGGTAACTAAAATTGAGCTACCGGTAGATTACCGGTAACTTACCGGTCAGTAACATTACCGGTAAGTAACTTGCCGAACCCCACTAATAACTGATTTTTTAAAAAAAAACTGTTTCTTGGATTTTCGAACATAAAGACTTTAAAGTTTTGAAACAAACTTTATGCGTGTGTCACACATCTTTATTAGAGTTTAGTCAAGATGAAGTTTTATCAATATATATTATACTTACTTGTATAATTTATATTGACAAAATAAAGTACTAATAAATAAAAAACATTTGTGTATTTGCCTACCTAATATAGAGTCAATTTCTTCAAGCTTGTATAACTGAATCTGAACGTGATCTTGGTGTCATAATTTAATTAAAACTAAAATAGGATTTGCATAATAATGCAGCAGTTTGTATAGCTAATTCAGTCCTGGGTTTGATTCGTTGAACTTTCAAAAACTTAGATGTAAATGTGGTTAAAAAATTATATATAACAATTGTGCGTTCACATCTTGAATATGCTGTGCAAGTTTGGTGTCCCTATCTGAAAGAAGATATTGACAAATCGAAAAGATTCAATAAAAAGCAACCAAACTCATACCATTACTCAAAAAATCTTCTTACAAAAAATGATTCAAAATAATGAACTTGACAACCTTACAAGAACATAGGATGCGAGGTGATTTAATCCAAAAATCCAAATCAGAATGGGAAGAGGTCGTGAGTGGAGTACCACAAGGATCAGTGCTGGGACCACTATTATTTGTAGTGTATATTAATGA